TGCTCTGTCTTCTGGGATTTCTGGAGCCTTCCTGACCCTCAGGCTCACAGTGAAAGATTGCCAGTCCTGGGACCTGGGCTTTTTCACTCAAAAAGCAGAAGATAGAAATAGGATTGGGGGTGACACCCAGGAATATGAACAAAGACAACAAACCACATGATATAACTGGTGAGTACAGAAAAAATTTCTGATTCTACCTACAGTTTCAGAACACACTTTCAAGACAGAGATACAGACATCATCTATGCCCCAATAAGGCTTTATAGGACGCACAGGCAGATTCTGTTCTTTCCAAATTATGGTATATTTGTTGGTAAAATTTGGTTTCAGCGTTGTGGTTTCCATGATTCTCTTGGATTCTGACATAATTCCTTCTTGCCCCTGGTGGTCTTGCTCATTTGAATGACAAGGACACGTGTAAGAAAGTAGTTTAAAGAACATTGGGTTTGTAAATAAAAGACCTGGGTTTGAAACCTTGCTCTGCCAATTACTTGCCCCCCACCTTTTTTCTTACCCTGGCTAATTTGCAACTTAATCCCTCAGTTTCTGCCTTTCCTTTGCATGAAAGTGCCTAGCACAATACCTGGCACACTGTAGTTGCTAAATGTTTTATACGATCTGAAAACAGGAAGGACGGCCTGTTTTTCAGGATGTTAGAGATAAGTAATTCTGGAATCCTCTAGATGTGAACATTCTTTTCTATCTTGCTTCCACCTTGATATGTTCCCTTCATTAAACACTTTTTTTCCCCCTGCCAGATAGCCTGAGGGTAAGGATGAAAGAGGGAGGCTGACTATGCAGGAAGGCAGACTGTTTCGGTCTGGGGGCTGCTGCCATGTGTTTTACTCTCCTCGCTGCTTTAAGTCTTTGAGTCCTCTGCCCCATAGCCATAGCCATTAATAACTTCCTTAACCCAGTGTGGCATCCACCTGAAAGGTGGATCACTTGTCTATCTAAAAATAACATGGCTGGCAGATCCGCATGTGTTGATAAGCAAGTGGTAACGTTGAAGGTGAGGCCGACATGACAGATTTAATCACATCTTACCGGGACAGGGCCAGACGTTATTACCAAGGCCAATCAAGAAATTTTTCTCGACACATAAGCAGGGACAGTACAGGAGAATGAATATGATTTTAAAAGTTCTATATGTAGGTGTATTTTAGTAAGAATGGTTTCTTCTGGAAAGTCATGGGTAAATTGCTGATTATGTCTGGGAGACTGTATTGTGCTAACTGAAAAGAAATGTCACTAATAAGAGATGTGTTATTGTTGCAAAACTGTATTTTTGGACATAAAACAGATGTAGAAATGCAGTGTGGCATTATATATATGTTGTGAGTATGTGTAAGAGTTTGGAGAGTTAATATTCATATTAGCTTTAGTTATATTCATTAACTTCTGTGGACTCCAGACTATGCTTTTGCAAAGATTTAAGTGGACTTCACTCCCCATTTCACCCTCATTGTCTTCCTATTTGTATATCTTTCTTCATTGTACTACTTCCCCCTCCAGATGCTCAATTCAAGATGAGAGCTGAACATTTTAATATGCTAAAAGACAGTCAAAAGCAACTGAGAAAAAAATTAAAGAATGATAACCGTAATTGAGGCAATAATATTGTTTTAATTAGAAACCTGCCTGAAGAGATTTGGCACTGTCGACACAGGCATGTGTAAACTATAAGCAAGCCAAACATAGAAACATTTTGCAACTGTCAAGTGTAGTTATCAGCATAGAATATTTCATAATTTCAGTTGACCCTTGATTCTAATGCTCTGAATTTCATTAAATACAGCACTAAAGAGAGAACTGTAGGATAATGTGCTTTATATTCTTAAGGATTTTACAGTCCAGCTGAAACAGTACATGTAATTTTTTTTAACACAATGGGAAAACTGTTTCGGTATAATTAAAGGAGAGATAGTACTTCACTGAAAATGAGCTAAAAACATAATTAAAGGGGCAGAGTATCGGTCATATTGTTTAGAAATGCTGGTTAGGAGCATTCTTCTAATGGTCAGATGGGCCAGAAACTAACCCATGGGAAGAGTCATCCTAGAGGGTTTTGGCACCAAAGCGTGCCTTTTCTCAGCTTCACACAGACTGGCCAGGCAAAGCCATGTGGTTACTGAATATGAATTGTAAGGGAAAAAAGTGATCTAGAGAGGAATATTGTTGTTACAAGTGAATATGAGCATCTTCTGATGTACAAGCTTCGGTGGGCTCTATGCGGTGAGGTTTCCCTATGTGGTGAGGTTTCCTGTATAGGTTTCCATGGATATGTGAGTATGCCTGGTGTGTATACCTTAAAAATACTGGACTCATTTGGCACATTCCATATGCCTCTACCTAAACTGTTATCATTGGAAAGAGAAGAACGCATTGTACAAACATCTGGAAAGCCCTTTCACTGAGTGGGCCTCATTACCCTATACATTTGTCCTTGCTCTAGCATCCAATTTCATCGGGCTGCTAGGTGTTAATAAGCCTAGCCTCTTTGAACTACCTATGCACAAAGTGATGCTGAGAACCTGGCTCAGGAAATGCAATAGAAGGTCATAGTTTATCCAAAGCGGGGTGGTCTGTAATAGGTATGATAGCCTGGTGCAAGAGTATAAGCATGGTTTGAGTCATTACGGATAAGTGTGTTTGGCCATGTGCTGTAGTTGAGTGTGGCCCACCATGAGCAGTTCTATGCAGGGGTACATGTGCACACATGGCTTTAAACAACTTCATTCAGTACATATCACTGGGTGTGTAGTTTGTTTTCTGGGCAGAGGTCACAGTCTGAGCTGGCTGCTGGCTGATCCTTTTTTTCCACTAGTACAATGGTAAGAGAGCTTATGCTCACAGAACCTACTCCCCAGAAAGCCAAACTTGTTAAACTGGCTGCTCCCTGAATAAAAATAATTACATCTGATAACGCACTGGAAAAGAAGCAAGAGGAAAGGAAAACAGGAATGAGGATAGCAGTAAGAAAATTTCAAATAGCCTCTGAATTCCCCTAGCCAAGACCTTCCCCTTTGTTCCACTCTCAAGGCTCTGTTTCTTGCACCATTGCTAGTGCTTTTCCTTCCATGTGGTCCTGTGAATTGTAGAAACTTTTTCCTTGCCTTTTTGGTTTACAAACTAGATGTGGTGGACTTTGTTAACTATTCATTGACTTCTTAGATCCCTTGCTGTGTACAAACCCACAGATAAGAATTTTCCTCTCCTCTGCAATTTTCCACCTTCTGGCTACCATTTCTCTGTTTGCCTGGGCTTCTGTCAACCAAGCACACACCTGTCTCTCTTCTGAGTTGAAAGGGAATTGTTTAACTATCAAACCCAGATACCAGCTCACACAACTCCAAGAAGAGTGAAAAAGGGGTGAGGCAGGAGCTGGGAGGCTTCTTTACATAGGTCCTTCAGGCACTGAGAGACTCTGCCTCAATAAGTAACACTTTGGTTATTAGTATCAATAATATGTAATAATAGAAGATTGCATAATTTGGCTAAAGTAACACACGTAACATATTAGTAGCATGGCATACAAGTTACACTTCTGATTTTTGTTTTATCTTTGTATCAAGTTACTACAAGACTGGATCACATATTTAGGATTACTTAGCAGAAAATCACCATATTTTCTTTTACATTAATCAAAATTAAAGACGCAGACTTTCCTGACCATAGAGCCACAGGAGAATCTTGTCAAGTAAGGGCAAAATATAAAGTTTGTAGCTACATGGGCGAGCATTAACGACAAGTTCTCTTCAGAAAGAAAGAACGAAATTTCTGGAGGTGTCATTTGAAAAATATATGCTGATTATGTAGAATCAAAAGTCACATAAAGAATCTCTTGCCAAGTAAACAAGAAACTAGTAACTATAGTCTTCTTGGAGGAGAACTGGGAACTGGATAAATGGAGAAGGACAGGGTGGGAGAAAAGATTTTTGTGCTATACCATTTTGTGTTTCCATTTTTGGACCATATGAATATATTCCCTTTTTTTAAAAAAGAGAGAAAGAGAAAGTGTCTTGGTACTGATACTTCCTTTATATCCTGGTAAGAAGAGTATGTGTCTGTATCTGCTATAAGCAGGGGAAGCTCCTTGAAGCTCTGAGGGCTTAGGAACTAAATAGTATTTATTGATAAATGCTTTCTGTTCATTGCTTGTGAGGGTGCAATAGTTCAGAGAAAGAAAACGAATGGGCCGGGCGCGGTGGCTCACGCCTGTAATCCTGGCACTCTGGGAGGCCGAGGCCGGCGGATTGTTTGAGCTCAGGAGTTCGAGACCAGCCTGAGCAAGAGTGAGACTCTGTCTCTACTAAAAATAGAAAGAAATTAGCTGGACAATTAAAATATATATATTAAAAAAAAATTAGCCAGGCATGGTGGCACATGCCTATAGTCCCAGCTTCTCGGGAGACTGAGGCAGAAGAATCGCTTGAGCCCAGGACTTTGAGGTTGCTGTGAGCTAGGCTGATGCCGGGGCAACAGAGTGAGACTCTGTCTAAAAAAAAAAAAAAAAGAAAAGAAAATGAATGCACAACTCCTATGTCTTGGCATATGCCAAATATTTATTCATTTTCTGAATTAACATCATATACAAATAAATGTTTTGTTAAAAAGTATGATGCACAGCTAAAAAAAATTAGACACACTTAAGGACTGTAGGGGAGGTAGATCACGCACATATAACCCACAGATCACAACTGTTCACACAGATTCTGTGAATCTGTACTTGAGCATGGGAGCAGAACTGGGTGGGAGGAGAACCTTTAAAAGAATTTCAGTTAACAATGGGATGAAAGGACAAGACCAGATCAGGGCTGTATTTGCTGTAAAACAAGGTGAAGAAAAATGCTGAGGGTGGGGAGTATGTGTGTGAGGGTTCTTGCAGCCTGAATATCACACAGATGGAGATAAATGGATGACTCAGAGAGGTAGCCACTTACTTAACTAGTTATTTATAGAGGCATCTTAAAATTGTGCATGCTCCATTTTTTTTCCAGAAACACGCATTCCTCGGGAATTTTCCACAGCCGTGCTCTGGACATTCTCTCTGGTCCTAGGAGAGACGTGGACGGCCCTGCGGCAATGGGGGGTGAGAAAGGCATGACACGGGTGCTGCTGGAATGCAGTCTCACCGACAAGCTGTGTGGTAAGTACAGACACCACAGATGTCTATGCTCTGATTTCAGGATTATGGAGACTGAGGTCTGGGTAGATTCTTGAAGGAGGATTATTTGATTTCTGGTAGAAATCAAGACAGTGGTGATATAAGAATGGGGACTAGAGGTCACTGATGTTTTGGAGGGGGAATAAATGCCAGTTGGCAATCCAGATGCAGCATCCTTTATCTCAGTAGTAAAAATGACAAAAGAGGGATCGGACACACTTGATGGCCTCAGAAACAGAGGCACTGGGATTTATGATTAGTGTTGCTCCCACTGGTGCTTCTGTCGAATTGGAGTAGAGGGGAAGGTAGAAGAGATGACCTTTTCAGGTATGATGAGCTGAGGACCCCTGGGTAGGGGAAATTGTGGACATCAGGTCAGGCTTCTTTGTCATTTTCTTCTCTTCCTGCTTGATTCTACCCAGTCATCGAGGAGAAGCAGTACGAAGTGATTATTGTTCCAGCTCTCCTGGTTGGCACCTTCCTTATCCTACTGGGCGTCATCCTGTGGCTTTTTATCAGAGAACAAAGAGCCCAACAGCAGCGTCCTGGACTCCGAGGTAAAGCTCAAACCGTGGGGCTGGGAAGGGGCTCAGGGAGGATGGAGATTAGGAAAAATATGGTCCAAGTTTCAATAGGCCCGGTCTAGGAGTCTAGGCACCTGCAATGAGAGAGGCAGGGGTTCTCTCCTGTGGCATTGAGAGGAGGTGATCTCTCCTTTAAGAAGTCATGAGTTGGAACTCTGTTGAGTGACTGGCAGAAGGGTGGGCAAGAGACAGCTCATGTGACCTGTTTCTGTCCTCTTTGTCCTAATGGACTATCAAATCTTTGACTATGTGAGTGTGTAAGGACCTAGGAGAAGGACCTAGGGGGGAAAGTCAGCTTTGGTAACATCCTTGAAGAATGACATTTTACCCTATGACACATTCTCTCCCTAATCTTTGCCTACAGAATATATGATAAAAAAGGGTGGCCTTCATATTAGTCATTGAAACATTAAGTAGGAAATAACAGGCTGTTATGGAGTTCCACTGAGCATATGATAAAAGAGAATCAGCTCATACAGGAAACTAAGCATGAAAAGAAGGAAAAACAAAAAAACTAACAGTGATATGAAACTCTATAGTGGCTGATCCTTAGTCCCTTTTTAAAATTTTATTGTAATCCTTTTACACTTCACTTTTATAGAAAACTTCTCAAAGAAGTTGTCCAAACTCACTCCCACTACTTCTACTCATTACATTCTCTTTTGAACATACTAAAAGAAGGCTTTATCCCTACCATTCCACCAAAACGAGTCTTTCCAAGCTCATCAGTGACACCTATGTTGACAAGTCCAATGATCAATTCTTAGTCCTTGTCTTACTTGACCTGTCAAAAGCATTTGAAACAACTTTGCACTTCTTTCTTATTTTTAAAAAATCTAAAGCACTTCCTAAATGGTATAATTTTCAGTCTTATGGGTTCAAATACCTTTTCTATTCTCATGATGGTCCCTTGAACTCCAGATTCTTATGTTAAACCACCTACTTTGCAGTTTGGATATAATACACATCTCATATGTAACATGTCCAAAACAAAGGGCCTAATACTCTCTCACAAATGTCCTTCTCCAGTAGTTTCCCCGTCTTAGTAAATGGCAAGTCCAGCCCGTGTATTTTCAGGCTAAAACCTTAAACGTATCGTTCACTCACCTCTTTCTCTCAGTCCTTATCTAATTTATGAGCAAACCCTGTCAACTCTATCTTCAGAATAAACCCAAGCCACTCTCACCTTGCATAGATCATTGCAGTACACTCCTAACTGCTTTCCCTGCTTCTCCTCACAGAAGCCAGAATGATTCTTTTAAGACAGAGTCAGTCCTGTCAGTTCTCTGTTTGAAACCCCCAAGAGCTTCCCATCTTGCTCAGAATAAAAAAAGACAAAATTCTTTCAATGACCTTACACGCTCTGGGCCTCACTGGCCTTATTTCCTACAACTCTCCAGTGGTCCCTCTTGGCTCCAGCTGCACTGGCTTTCTTATTCGTCCTCAAATATACCAAGGATGTTCCTTGCTCAGTGCCTTTGCACGTATTGCTCCCTTTGCCTACAATACTCTTCCCGACACTGCCATGGTTTGCCCTCTAATTGCTTCCAGGTCTTTCTCAAATGCCATCTCATCTGAAAGGCCTTTCTTGACCTTCATATATAGATAGCATCATTGATGCTTCTTTTCCCTTTGTTATTTTCCTCCACAACAATCACTGCTTGAGATGTTATTATCTGCTTCCTCTCCCCTACCACTAGAAAGTAATCTTCAGTTGAATCTGAACTTTGCCTGTTCCCAACACCTAGAACGATACCTGGCATGTAGTAGGTGATGTTTGTTGAATAAATGAATGGATTAATGAATGAATGAATGGAGTTTTAACAAGAAGAATGAAACTCTCTTTTTTAACTGGAGGAAAAGTTCATGCTGGCTAAAGAAGGGAGAAAGTACCAGAAGACTTTTTTGACTAAGACTCAAGGAAATATGGAATAATTTGACTTTTGAGACAACTCGAGGGAGAAAGAATAACTATAGCTTAAAGTTGATGAGTTATCCATACCTTTCCTCCAGCACTGAAAGCCATTTGACTGACTTAAATGATAGTACCTGGCTGTTACCACCACCTTTAGGTATCTATGGTTCGGGTACCTATTCAGGAATTTCCTTAATTTTTTTTTTTTTTTTTTGAGACAGAGTTAGGCTAGAGTGCCGTGGCGTCAGCCTAGCTCATAGCAACCTCAAACTCCTAAGCTCAAGCGATCCTCCTGCCTCAGCCTCCCGAGTAGCTGGGACTATAGGTGCACGCCACCCTGCCCAGCTAATTTTTTCTATTTTTAGTAGAGACGGGGTCTCACTCTTGCTCCGACTGGTCTCAGACTCCTGAGCTCAAGCAGTCCTCCCACCTTGGCCTCCCTAAGTGCTAGGATTACAGGTGTGAGCCACCACACCCAGCCTAGGAACTTCTTTAATTGCCTCCGTACTGTACTCGTGGGGAATACTGAATTGTAATTCTGAGGAAGACAGAAAAGAAATATCATGACCACTTTCCAGGGGTCCATCCTGAGTTGTCCTGGAAGTAATGGGGGATTATTATAAATGTTCTATAAGCTTGGTGTTGATGTTTATGGAGAAGCATCAGAAAACAACCCCACATTGGCCAGAGAGAAAACTGCTAGGGGAACTGCCATGCCAGCTTGTTCCAGGCTCTGTTCTCCTGGAGTCTGTAGGGCAGGGGAAAGCTGGTTGAAACCATGTCTTTGTTCTAGGCACTGCCCCTATACCTCCATCTAGGGGCCTAAGCTGGGAAGCAGCAGGACATGGAGGAAATGTGGTTGTGCCACTTAAGGAGACATCAGTGGAAAGCTTTCTACAAGCTATCACACCTGCCCTGGCTAAGCTGCAGGTGCCCCGGGAACAACTCTCTGAAGTTCTGGAGCAGATCTACAACGGGAGCTGTGGGGCCATCTATCGAGCCAAAATGAACACTGGGGACTCTGCTAAGCCAAAGAGTGTTGTCCTCAAGGCTTTAAAAGGTAAAAGGAGAAGTGTTAGATTTCCCTTCCTCTTTTTACTTTTCCACCGTGGGTTCCTAACAATAAATGTTGACAGGGTTTGCAAACATTGAGATGTCAATCAACACATAGTTGTGATCACAATTGTGTGCAGAGGAAGGGAAGAGAGGGTAGAAAACTGAGACAGAAATGTTCTTGGGGGGGGTCTTTCTTTCCCTCGCCCAACCTTGCCTGTCAAGGCTGTTAGAACTTATTTTTCCACATTGTATGTTACTTGGACTAGGATTCTGAAATCGTTTCTTCATTTTTCTTCACTGTTTTATTTTATTTATTTATTTTTTTTTAGACAGTCTCACTTTTTTGCCCCCAGCTAGACTGCAGTGGTGTCATCATGGCTCACTGCAACCTCAAACTCCTGGGCTCAAGTGATCCTCCTGCCTCAGCCTCCCGACCAGCTGGGACTACAGGTGCATGCCACCACGCCCAGCTGT